AGTAATTTACATGATCCTTAGTTTAAGATTTTATTTCAATATTATAAATTAAGACAAAAAGTAATGAGAACTTAAATATTCTATTTATGCTACAACATTCACTCATTAGAATTATATCACTATTTCTTAAAATTACATAACAAATATTTACCATTTTCTTATTATAAATTCAAATCTACTTGTAAACTGTGAATCTATATGAAAATATTGAAATTATTATCAATATATTATAGTTGGATCTCATTATCAGATATTATATATATGAATAAAAAGGTTTTTGACTTATTTCCTTATATTTATAATTATTAAACAATAATTATGAAGGATAAGGAATTTTAATCAAGTATTTGAATGCTTTATAATAATTTATTTATTAACAATAATAAACTTTAAACGGAATAATACTTTATAATAGAATTTAATATTTAAAATTGACCAAACCTATGAATTGGATATCTCATAATATGGAAATCAAGATGATAATAATTGTACTGATTAATTAACCGTAGCATTATCCACATCCAATATTGTTATCCCATCTAGCGATTCCTCCAGTGGAATTATAGCAGTTTTGTGAAGTTCGAGTATTAAGGTCTGTAGTTTTATCACATACATTTCCGTTTAAGTTACAAAATTAGGCTTCATAATTTTAATTAGGTTAATTAAGATAGTAATCACAACTAGAGGTTAAATTGTATAGAGTAGTGCAATTAAACGTATAGCATGTGCCAGAATCCCAATAACAAGTGCGTAACATAGTATTGCATAAGGTTGAGTTTAATATCTTTTTACAATCGCTAGCACCTGAACAACTGGAAGAATTTTGATTCCACTAACACAAACCATCAGCACCTAAAGAACCAAAACATTAATAATATTCTTAATAATCATTGCACTATTATAAGGATGATTAACATTAGCCTGTTTTAGTCGATCCAGCACAAAGAATCGATTGGCTTAAGCATTCTTGTTATGTATTTCCCAATAAGGATGAACAAAATGATTAAGTTGAATTGGAGACACTTTAGCCTGTACAATTTTATGTTGTTTGATTCCAATAGCAATTTTTGTTCAATATACAAGAACCTTGAATTGTTAATAAGCTACAATTCTGAATTTGACATGTGCTTGTCTTATAATCCCAATAACAATTAGGGAAGGATTATATGCATTCAATCTACTGACTAAAGTCTTGGCATTCACACTTAGATTTGACATTTAAAAGATGTGAAAATTTACACGGTAAACAAAACCCCTTTTAGATAGTACTTCGTGGTTGACTCCAATGATGAGTTCTTCCAGATTATATGTAGCATGAATTTATATCATAATTTATTGAATTATAAAAGATATTGCACTTTTTTGTGTCTTAATTCCAAGCACAAATGTTGATATTAGCTTCATTAATGGAACTATAAACATAAGAGCAACTACTTTGAGTGTAATAATCTTCGCATTTTTTAATTTAACACACTTATTTTTACCAAATACAAGTTCTATAAAATTAATTACATAACTCAAATGTCTAAAAATCACTACACTATGAAACACTCTAGCAAGCGGAATTTGAATATGTACAATATCCATCCTTCCCTATAGAATTATAGCAAATGCTAGGTTAGATAGGTTTGTTGTTGAAGAGCTCTGAACATGTACTTAAGCCTGATTAAGATAAACAATGACCATCTTTGGAACCTGGGCAATAAATGGAGGATGCAATACAGGTAGAGTAATTCTTTTCTAATATTTCCTCGCAATTATCATATGGTTGACATAGAGAAGGAATTATAAGTGCATTCCAAAAGCATCCCTAAATTTATGCACATTTTTATTATGATAAATACTCTGAGCATTATAATTTGATGCATTAATCATTGGCCCATTTACAATTTGGTGAATTATTGCATTCGGATTACAAGAGTAGTTGAGTACAATCACAATCATTAGGAAAATGATATTAATTTAGATTACATTATGCACAAATACCAAATAATGGTTCAATTGGTACCCACCTATAATGATAATTGGTATTAGAAGCACAAGTGTATTCAGTTAATTGATCAGCTGTTCCATTTGTGCAAGTCTGACCATTCCAAAAGCATGGCTGAGTTAAAGCACCACTCAAAGGAGTTGTTTGAACAAATCTACATGTATTTTAAGATGTAAATTATGAACATTTTTAACTTACACAACTTGTACCAGACCAATAGCAAGCGTAATTTAACCATTTTTTATTACATATACTTTCATATTAAATTTCTGCGCATTGACTCACAACCTTACAAGATGATACACTCCAAAAGCACATTCCTTCAGTTGTCAAAGTATATATATCCTATGTATCCTACATGGCTGTGCATTAACTTTATGATAATCCTTGGCAATAATCTCCTGAGTTAATACATTTATTATCTATATTTGATTATACACACTTTGAATTAGCTCCTTAGCATGATTATCCACTTTTTAATGTTATGTGTTCGCAAGTATCAAAAGGAAAGCAATTAATTTATTAACTAGATTCTTAGTAGTAACATAGATGTTGTGAATTTTGACATTGCTATTAATTTAATTATTCACATTTCACTTTTCCACAATAGCCCGCCTATGATGTCGTACTTATCCATTAGCAATTCCAATTATTACATTCTACTTAGCTCATAATCTATTAGCATGCACAATACACATTCGGAATAGCTTTATCCTAACCAAAGACTGAAAATCCACAAAGCAAAAAAAGAAATGAAATTTTGAGCATTTTTGGATTTAATTTATTTATAATACTAAATCATATCATTCTACTTTTAATATTTATGAGTTACATCTCTCTATTTGAAATCATCAAATAAAAGTTAAACGAATCAGATTTAACCGTAATCTTAATAGAATATATATAATATTACAAATTACATTATATAATATCATAAGAAATAATTAACTGTTTACAAAATATCACGTGCTTATTATGTATCTGATATAATCAACTACTCATGCATATTAACAGCAAGCCTAATTAATGTCAAGAATTGCAATTTATATTAACCAATAAGAAATAATTTTCTCAATGTTTTGATTTTTTTTGTTTTTTGATTCATTCATATTTACATGCAATATATATTTTTCAAACTTATTGAGATTCTAATTATTGTCTGTTAAATAGGTAATACAAGGGTGAGATTTATTAATTTGGAATGATTAAGAATTTTAAATTAGAAATAGTCAAATAATTAACTCAGACTATTTTCTTAATTACTTCCAAAAGAAAATCAATTCAACAATGATTATCAAATCATCTTAAATGAATCAAACTATTCCAAAAAGATTTTATTATGAGAATTGCTTTATTATTAATTTACCTAAAAATTGACCAAATTTCTTCATTTTTAAAATAAATAAGTAAAATATAATTCATTCTTTGCTAATCCAATAATCAATCGAATACTTATTCATTTTTATTTAGGCTTAATTTCAATCTACAACATTAATTTTAGAACATTTACTTATTAATTATATATTTATGTATTAATAATACAATCAAAAAAACTAAGTAAAATTTTGTTATGAATTACTCTCAGAATTAACAATCCACCAAAAACAAGTGTGCTATGCTATTACTTTCAATCAAAATAAATAATTAGTCTTAGTCTGTTGTGATCTAAATATTAAAGTTTATCAATTCAATGATGGATATTTAAAGTTAATATCAATACTATCAAAAAGTCGATTTACTATCACAGTCCTGAGTTTCTTTAAGAACAACAGAAAGTGTTAATTTTTATCAGGTTCGTGTGATAGTTTTATAGAAGTTAGATCAATAACATAATTAAGAAGTCAAAAATACACTTAGAAATTGGATTCACATAAAAATGGCATTAATTGTTTAGTTATTGGTTAGGATTAAAATATGTTTTTATCTGGCTGTGTAGGTTAAGCGATTAAACTATGGAGTTGCTTCTAATAAAACTAACGTAGTTGTCAATGGTCCTGCTAATAGACAATTACAGATCATACTAATTCTGTCTATACATTAGATATTAATTCAAAATAAAATAAAGCAGTATCATGTGGATATGATGACACTATGTTAATTATGGATATAATAAAAAACATGGAAACTTATTAATTGGTTTTGAAATAAAAGATTAAATTACCAAACTTTAGTTATCGAATCCTATTCATAAATGATTCAGATTTCATATTTCAATCCTATTCTGCAAAGTTTCTTCAATTGTTCCAATAAGATTAAAATGAAAAATATTTCATAACATATTCTCTACCTGTTTAGTGTAAATCCTAGCCTTGCAATATATTTTTCTAGCCCTAATTTATTTAGTCAAAAGGTTATTTTGTTTGTAAAAATAGTTAAAATCTTAATTTTGTTTATCATAATCCTGTTAATAATGAACTTGTATTATTATATTCGATATATTTTGATAATTATGAATAATATGGGTCATTAAGTGAAGATGGTGAATATTTAATTACTTGGAATTAGAAATTAGAACAAATAGAAATAAGAAAGTATAAACTTATTGATGATAAAAATAATTGATTTTAATTATTCATGTATACATAAATTTTATATAAAAATAGTAAATTATTAATATAATTGTTTAAAATTGAATTTGCAATAATTTAGAATCATACTATTCCACAAGATTTCTTTCCGATTAATAAAAATAATGAATAAAATAATTCATATTTAGTTTCTGATATATTATTTAAGTAAATTTTGATTCTAAATATTATCAGAGATTATATAACGTTATAAAAATTCATTACTCCAGTATTTAAAATTAATTTCACTATTACTTTCTATCTAATTAAACTTCAGAATTATCAAGATTTCATTTTATACCTTAATCTATTAAATGATGCAACATTTTTGGAACCCTTGATGAAAATTTTGAACATTAACTTTTTATTTGGTTCTTATAAATCTAAGAAAAATAATGTTTCAATGTTGTTAAATATCACTTTTGTGTTTTAAGGAAAATAATCTTTTGTTTATTTTCTTAAACAAACGCAGCTACACTATTTAGCACAATATCCTAAGTAATAAACCAAAAATATTTAACAATTAACCTATTTAAATATATTTTACTGTTATTCCATTAACTTTATGTCTATAATTCCAAATATTATTATAAGATGTTGCTTCATTAATACATAATCATTCTTGTAATCCTTAAGGAAATTTTTGAACATTTTTCTTCAATCTTAAATTGGCCTAGATAAAAAATTTTTATTCATAATTTTATTACAGTTAGTGTGATCTTAATGATAATTTCTAGTCCTAGAATAATGTAAGGGATAAAAATTATGATGAGGATTCATTTATATATAATACTTTGCTTCAGATTAATATCATTGTATTCTCTTATAATACCTTAAATTGGACAATAAAATTTGGATTTTATCATATTATAATAGAATTTAATAATGAATTCGTCAAATGATATATGGCGCTGTCAAGATCATAATGAACTTGTTGTATTTCTTGCAAGATCCATTTCAGAGTAAAAAACAATAAGACTTTGCCATAAATGTGTAATTGACAAGAAAAAGGATTTAACATTAAAGAACTTAATCTTAATAGATGATGCAAAGAAATACCTTTAAGAAACAAAGGCTGGAATATTAGAAGAAAGAGAATCACTTAATAAATATAACATAGGAATATTAAATGATATTAAGGATAGCATAGGAAATCTTTCATTGAATTTCAATCTATTAATTGATAAAATTAAAGTAAATATAGACTCTGGGATAAAGACTATAGAAGAATCTTCAATAAAATTCTAAAAAGAATTAAATGATATTTCATTCGATCAAATAGAAAATACTAATATGGAAAAAAGCTCAATTTTATATTAATTGATTAATCAAAAAGAATTATACGATATAATTTAAAGTCAAATAGGTAATTTATTCAATATATAACTTTTGTAAAAGTGTCAACAATTAGTGTAAAGTTTAAAAGTTGGAGAATAAAGTGAGACTTTAAATTAACTATCCAACATAGGGTCATTTATTGATTAATAGACCTAGATAAAGGCAGATTGGATATGTGATAAGCATGAACAAGAAATAGTTTTTGCTGATTTATCCTAATAAAAAAGTATTCAAAATAGATTAGCTTGTCTTGAATGTGTGCCTGAATATCAGATTTAATACACAAATTTAGGATAGTTGTAATAAAAGTGGTAGAAGTATACTGAATAAGCATTGAAACTATTTAATTTTTAGCAAAGCAATACTTAAAGTAAACAAACATAATTAATTCTATAACTTAAAGAGTTTCGAGAGATATTTTTGAAGATATTTGAGTAATTAATCTAATCAATTTAAAACAAAGTCGCATTAGAAAATAATGATCTCCATTATCATCATAAACTATTTTAAAAGACATGGCAAGCATTAAGTAAAAATGATCTAATTAATATTGTTGAACTTCTGAGTTCGTAAAATAGATTAGCTCTGGTTAATCAACTGATTGAATAAGAATTTTAATCCAAAGATTAAGCTATTTATGCAACAATTTATGCTCAAATGTAACAACTCTAAAATTTGATAAACTCTACTTGTCTATAAGTAATTTCTTCAAATATGAAATCCTTTGCTACAAATGAAAAAGTAAATTAAAATAAAATTAATATTGAATCCTAAATTTAAAAATCGCTATCCTTATCATCTTTAATTCTCACTCTTTCTTTATAACTTAATAAATAAATCACACCATAAATTTTCAAACCATTTACCTATGAGATAGTCTCCTAAATCTCAGAAAGTATTAAATGTAAAGCATTTGCATTTAATAATGATTCATCTATTTTAATTGCAGGTCAAGATGATGGATCAATAAAGGTTTTTGAGTTTAATTAAGGAAAATTAAAAGAAGTTTAATTACTTAAAGAACATTCAAATTATATTCAAAGTTTATATTTCATGTAAAGATCTTCTTCATTTATATCTGCTGGTAATGATAAATAGATAATAGTCTGGAGGATGAATAATTAGAAAGAATGGCAGAGTTATCAAAAATTAGAAGGTCACACTGATAGAATTAATTGTTTAATAATGAATAATAAAGAAGATTGCATCATATCTGGTAGTAATGATACAACTATTAAGTTTTGGGTTTAAGAGAATTAGTAATGGAAATGCAATTAGACATTATTAGATCATAAAGGCTATATTAGATGTTTATCATTGAATATATCATAGAATATGTTGATATCATGTGGTCAGGATAAATTATTATTAATAATCTAGTAAAATAATAATAATAAAATTTGGAATACAATCTAAAAAATATCTGTTGAAAGATAGGGTTATAGTTTATGCTTTATAACTGATTAAATGTTTACATTTCAACCTTACTCAATAAATATAATGCATATCTATTAATTAAACACAAAAAGTTAATAATTTATTAAAATAGAACAAGAAGTAAGCATTAATTCAGGTTCTGGTTGCTCATAGTTTTTCCCTTAAAAATTTATTAAAGAGAAATAAATTCTACTAAACAAAAATGGATAAAACGTCAATTTAATTAGACTTCATGGTAATGGTTAATTCAAAACAGAATAATCTATTCAAAATAAGGGCGATTGTTGTGGATTATTTGGCATTATTTCAAATGATGGAAGCTATTTAGTAACGTACGAGAGTTAGAGTAAAGAGATAAAAGTAAGAATATACAGAGAAAAATGATTGGGTAATTCTAAATTCCTTACATCTAATATATAATTTATCAATATGTTATTATTAATTGTTCCAAGTTATCAATTATTAATATATTTAATATGGATTTATAATATAAATCTTATCTTATATCAATTTAAAAATTGTGTTGATCAATTGATTTCTCTTAAAACTAATAAGTTTGATTACTTAATTGAATTTTAACTATTATTCTAAAAGTACCATGAATGACAAAAATATGATAATATAGATTGTTTGCTGTGTATATCTGAATTTCATATAAATAACTATCAATTATAAATAAAACTTTTAGTTATTCGAAGAAATTAGTAAAATTCCAATACTGATGAATATTTTAATGATTGGAAATTAAGCTGAAATTTGATATTATATTAATTTCCAATAACTTTATTATAATAATTCTCCAAAGTTAATTATTAATTAATATTTTTTACTTGAATATCTAATATAAATATTTTTCAAAAATAAGCAAAATAAATTGTTGGGTTGTCTACATATATATAATATTCAGATACAATCTTCTGTTCATTATTGCTTAATATATTCAATCGCAAAGGATTCAGAATTAAATTCATTAATTGACCTAACAATAATATCTTTAAGAGTGCAAATTGTGGACTAATTTATTATATTTTAACAGTTCTAATCAAAATATTACAGAATTATTAAAGTATGTAGGATCCCAGATTTCCAAAAATTGCTTTCAGAATATTATACATAATCAATTTCTAATATTGAAATCTTCTCTATAAATAATTCAAATATATTGAACTGATTTATTTCAAAATCTTCTTTCGTATTATTCATCAAATATAAGGATGCCTATTCTATTTCTCTTTTGTATTCAGATTTATCTGTTGTAAAGGCTTGTAAAATTGACTTTAAATTTAGTACTCTACTTTAAAGCTTCTTTTCTTAAGGATTTCCAAAAAAATCTAAAGCTCTATTAATTAAACCAAAAGTTTCGCTAAAGATAGGAACAAAGCCTTCATTAGAATTTTTGAGATTATCATTTTATTGGATTACTTCCAAAATTTATTTTGAATCAAATTTAGAATTGATCATAAAACTATCCAATGAAATTAACTCTATAATATAAAGATAATTAAATAGATGCCAAAATAATGAATGCTAATACTAATTCATTTTTGGATTTAATGATTCTTTTTACTTTGAACATTCTAAATTTATACTTAATTTTTCTGTTTAATTAAAAGGGATTTTTTCATTAAAATGATAATTTTGATCGTCCTAGTCCTAACTTAGATTACTCTTTAATTTAGAAATTTCTATTTTGCAATTTAAAATGTTTTCCATCTACAATTTAAGTGTCTATAATATTTCTCCTTAATTTTCTTTTGATTTTGAGGGTGCAAATAATCCTAAAAGGTCTTCAATAATTTTAATCTCAGATTAATATTACTAATGATAAACTTCAGATAAAACATTGATTTTCAGCAGATATTCCATTTCTTCTTTAACATTTTATAATTCTTTGTCTATGGATGTTAAAATTTCTACTTTTTATAGTAGAAAAATAATTTTATCTTTCGTAATTTGGAATTGAAGTATTTGTTAGGATGTTACTTTTAATGAAAGTTAAGTAGCTTTTTAAGAATTCTCATAGGCTTGATTTAAGTCTTTTAGAGAAAGATAAAGAAAACCTAAGCTAAAACAATATAACGGGTTTGCTGGCAATAATTCAATGGCTTTGGAATAGTCCATTATTGCTTTTTCATATATCTACTAATCAGAAAAGATGAGTCCTTGTTGTTATAGAATCTTGGTTACCTCTGTTATAGTAGGCTGCAGCATGTTTAGAATTTAATTCAAGCGCTTTGGAATAATCGACTATTGCTTCTTCATAATTCCCTTAATTTTTATATGCATTAGCTAGCTATTTAAGATTATTTACCTCTAATATAAAAAGCATCAGCATTTTCTCTTTGTAATTATAATGCTTTTGAACAATCCATTATAGCTTCATCAAACTTCCCACAATTCACATATGCATTGCCATAATATACATATTATTTTTACCTCTATTGTTATAAGCAGCTGCATAATGAGGATTGATTATAATTGATTTTGAGTAATCTGCTATTGCTTCATTGTAATTACCTAAATTCTAATTCGAGTTTGCTTTTTATTCTATATTTCATTACCTCTATTATTATATGCTGATGCATTTTCAGGAACCATTTCTATGAATTAAGTATAATCGATTATTGCTTCTTAAAACTTTCCCTGTTTTCCAAATACTAATGCTTTTTATGATTAATAACTATTTTAAACCTCTATTAAAGAAGGCAGCACTATATTGGGGATTAATATTGATGGCTAAAGAATAATCTTTAATGGCATCTTCGAAATTGGCCAAACTTTAAAAGGCATTGCCTAATTGTTATAATAAAGAATCACCTCTATTATGATAAGCAGCAGCATATTAAGGATTTTCTTCGATAGCTTTATTAAACTCTTTTATAGCCTAATTGAATTTTCCCTACTTTGAATAAACAAGGCCTAATCATATCAGATTATTGACTACCATTATTTAAATAACCATAAGCGAAAATGCTTTAGTTAAATGAATTCATAATTAATTCAAGAATTTATATAAAATTACACCTTTTTTTTCTTTATCATATTTCTACTAACGGTTACCATTCTAAAATCTATAGCTTTAATGGATTATTTTATTGTTATTTATATGTTTTTGTTCGACTAAACCTTCCATTTAAGAAGTTTAACCAGGGTTGAGAAATTTGATTTAATTGCATAGAACATTATTGAATTCTTATCTTTATAATTAATGTAATAAGCAATTTTATGTAATAAATATAAGTCCATCAACAATTTTTAATTTTTAGGGAATTTAAAAAAATTATAACCTTAAATAAATTAATTATAACATGTAAAGTTTATAGAAGAAGGTTGTCAATATCGTTATTATCGGCGATTAAGGGTATACATATAACCTAATAAATGTTTAGAGCAGGTAAAACTACGCTTTTCAAGCAAGTTACAACTGGTTAATTCACTCCTGAATATTATTCAACAATTGGAGTAGACGTAGGAATAAAAGAAATAAGTATTGAGGGTTTTTAATATCATTTATAAGTAAAACACCTATAAAATCCACTAGTTTTGGGATACATCAGGATAGGAGAGATTCTAAGCTATAATTTAATCATATTACAGGAGAGCAGAATGCTGTGTTATCGTTTATGATTTAATTGATCCAGAAGACTACAAAAATGTTAAGCATTGGATGAAACAATTTTCTTTTCGTTGTGACTTAGATCCTGAACAAAAATTTCCTTTTGTTATAGTAGGGACTCATTTAGATAAATTAACAGAAGTATAAAAACAAAATCTTGATCCATCAGATAATATTCAATCTTTTTAGATTTCATTAAAGGATGATAATTCAGTATAATAAATAATATAAGCCATTATTAATTGTGCAGTATTAGAATAACACAACAAAATTAAATATTAAGAAAAAGCTAAATCCAATCCAATATGTCAAAAGTTTACCAATTAAATCAATAACGACTTAGAAAAACTAAATGATATTATGACTTTGGTGTAATCAAGTAAAAAGCAAGTTGTTGAGACCTACGATTAACTTATTAATAATGTAGGAACATGGTAAAAGGAATTGAAAGATCTTAAATAATTTTATAACAGTCCAACTTTTGTTAAATAAATAGAATCGTCCAATTTTTCAGAGGAGTTGTTTTTTGAATAGGAATCAATATCATTTAATGATAAAATATAATAAGTTAATCAATCTAATTCAGAAAAATCAGAAATGAACCTTAAGGATTTTAGTAATGTATTAGAGGAGGCTACTAAATTGAAGGGTGAATTTAATTAAAAAAAAAACCAAATTAACAAAGAGAAATGATGTCTAAGATATACAATGATCAAAATTAATATCAAAATTTCTTTATTTCAATTATGTATAGGCTAAACTACAATTTAAGATATTCTTATAGTGTTCTCACTTTTATCTAATTTATGGATTTGACAAATAGTTTTATACACTATATTTTAGGTTTCTATTTTTTTTTTAATACTTTTGAAGGGTGTTTTTCAAATAACATCATTATTTTTTAAACTTTAAAATATATTCAAATTGCGGATGTAATATATTATATTTTATCTTTATCTTTATATTACGCAAGAATAAATTTTACATGAGGAATTCAAAATCTAGAACAGAATTCAATATAAGATGAATTGAAATATTTAAGAAAATAATTAATTAATTGATCTGTTTAATTGAAATAATGATGAATTAAATCGATCAGTCAGTATGTAAATTACAATCATAATATTGAGAATTTATTGAATTCTTTGTATTCAAATGATAAACTTCTTCATTTGAAACTTATTCAAATAATTTGCGACTTTAAAATTACTTTGTAATTCAGTATTACTTCTTTATTTTTAAATTAAATAAAAAATAGATCAAGTATTGACTCTCAAATATCTAGAATCATATCTCAAGTATAAATTGCATTTTTTTGCATCCTAAAAATGAGGATATGGTTGTTTCTGGATCTATTGATTGCCCAATTAAATTTTGGGTTGTCTCATCATCTGAAATTTGCATACTAACCTAATTCTTATAATAATTGTAGAAATTTACCAATTCTTGAGTTCACTCATCTAATAAATGGTTTCAATTTTTTCGTGAAATCTAATTTAAGGAAGAGAACACTATCGCTATTAGGGTTCCCTCAATTTCACATAATTCAACATCCTCCTCCGGGCATCTAGGTCCAGCCGGGATTTTAGGGGCATCATCAATCTTAAACTTCACTCTCTTTCCCTTTCCTTTTTCTTGACTTCCCTAAATGTCTTTGCATCAACCCTAGCCTCTTCTTAATTGCCAGAATTGGCTCAGAAGAGACTCTCTCGGGATGCTCAATTATGACATAATCAAGAATTTAAGTTTAATTAAATTTTTTCCGTCAGTTTATATTAAATCTAGGAATCTATTGATTATAAAAAATTGTGTGTGTACATTAATGTATTAAAAGTTGTGCCTTCTGAGCATATATTTAAATTATATTAATCATTTGAATTTAAATTGAATATTTATTTGGAAGCCAAAGCTATGATAGAGATTTATTACTAACTTGGGATATCGAATAAGTAAGTTTTAAAATAAAATGAGTTAAGAAACAAAAAACAAACAAATAATTTCTATGAAGAAAAAATGATTAAAATCAAATATCGTATGAAATTCTAAAAAAAACGCATCAAAATTAGATAGGGCATTAATTTCTTAGAAATTTAGAAGTATTTCCAAGGATATAATAGTGGGTATTGTATAAGAGAAGAAATCATAAAATACCTGGAGTTTGGATTAAATTTTCGGAATAAAATAATCGATAGAATTAGATTAAATTCAAAATTATTGAGCTATATGCTTCGAAGTTTATTTAAAATTCTAAAATAATTAAACAAAATTTTAATGAGAATACTTAATCACAAAGTAGAATTATAAGTATAATCCCAGGTTCAGAAATGAATTCCTTTAGATTATGGATGGATAAACATTGCAATTGAGTATTTATCATACCTAGGCAATACTTATACATAAATCATAAAAGTACCTTATTAATTCAGAAAATTCAAGTGATAAATTTGAAGCTCGCTATATATTGAAAATAATTGTAATACAACTACATAGAGATTCAATATTATTTTTAAGAATACAAGAAAACAATTATTTGATTTCTTATGTTTAGAAGTAGAGTCTGAGTTACTTCTGACACCTATTTAAATTAAAAAATATTATTTATATAATTTGCTTTGTAATTCCACATATGAAATGCAAATGAATTAAATAAATTAATAAGTACTTTTAGAAACACTCAAATTCTATTAAGATTGAAATTAAGCCCTAATTTTATGAAAAAGTGAGATTTAAAAAATAGAGTAAAACATGAAGAACAAGTAATCTCAATAAAGGAAGTTGATACAAATTCAGAATTCAAACAAAAAAGAAAAAGTTAACCTTTGTAAAAAAGACACTTCTCGTATAGGAAGCGTCATAAATAAAACCCATAATAAAAATTAATAGTTACCTGTTGCCAAACCAATTACTTAAATTTAACCGAAACTACCTCTAATAATAAATTATGAAAATTCCTCCAAACCTAAAAATACAAATAAATAAATGTAACAGAAACCAATAACTGACCTATAAAAATAAAATGATAAAGTTGAAAATAATAATTACCCTAATGCAATTTTATTAGGTGCTCCAGGAGTTGGAAAAACTTTTATTATGCATAAATTATTTCCAAAGGAAAAAAATATAAAAGAATTTATGTTGTATAAATTATCACTATTAGAATACAATTTTGTTGACACTGTAGGATTCGATTTTGAGCGGGATATATAAATGAGGGAGGCTCAAATAAAAATGTTTAAAGAATTTTTCATACAAGTTAATAATAGAATTTCTTCAATATTTATTGTGGTGAATTTTGAAAGGACTGATTTAATGAAAAAAAAATTGATTTCTGTTTATAAGTACTTTAGGAAATTTACAAATCTAATAAGTATAGTTGTGACTGATTTCCATTTAAGTGAAAGCAACGAAGATGAAGAAAATTTAATAAAAAGTCTGAAAATATTTTAACCTAATGATGTATTGTTTGTAAGGGGGGATGTAAAACCAGAAGAACTAACAAATTAATTAAAAAAAAAATAATCAAAAATAATTAAGAAAATAAATTAGTTTAATCAATTAAACTTAAAAGACACAATCTTTGAGCAAGATGATTTGGAAGAGTAGAATATACTAAGAACATAGTTATTAAAAAAAATGATAAATAAATGATTATATTTTTTAAATTTTTTTAATAATTCATAACTAATAATAAAAAAAGGAGAAATTACTTAAGCATTAATTTTGCATATTTATTAGCTAATTAATATAGATTTATCATATAGATTGGATTTTTGAAGAAGGATTAAAATATTATCACACCCTTTTGTTTTTTTAAAGATAATAAAAAATATCATCTTCAATTCTTAAAATGATTTCGCTTCGAAAGTATCCTTAAATACACTCCACTGTAATAATACCATATTCATAAACTAGCTCACTCGGATTGAATGATGTATTTTATAATAAAATTTGTTATTTTGTTGTCCTCTACTTTAAGGATTATTAATTTAATTATCAATTAACCCTTAAATTTTAAGATACTAATTTATTTTAAATATATAATAGAAATATGAATAAATTATGAAAATGTATTAAAATTAGAGTAATACAATGGTAGCTACATCTTCTGAAATATTTTAATATAGTTTTTCATTTTTGTAATAATTCATTTGAGACATGATCTCAATCGAAAAGATTGGTACAAAAAATAAAGGAATTGTAAATTTCTAAAAATGATTTATATTATTATTTAGAGAGAACCTGATTAACAAAATAAATGCTATATTATTTGTTAATTTATTCCACTAATTTCCTTAAAATAATAAATATGAATATTATTCATTATTTTATTTAACTGTTCTTTTCTAGAATTCTTTTAATGCTTTATCTTGTTATTTAATGGTAGAATTCTTAATAAGTTCTAAATGTTTAAACTGCAAATTCGCTTAAATAAATAAAAAAATTACTGATCTAATTCGTTTAGTGCTTGGTAGACAGGGCAGGAAATTTCACATGTACCAACCGACCCTAAGAAGTCTGAAATTTAAGTAAAGCGGGTTCGATCTCTAGCAGTTAAAATGGCTTTAAACCATCTAAATTTTAATTCACAGTCATTTTCATTAGTTAATTTTAAATCTTTGTCTATTTGTTCAATAACTTATTATGTTAATTCTTTATTTTGAGCCTTTTTAAATAATTCCTCCAAGAACACCTTTTTCTAGGATGGATAAAAATTAAAATAATCAGCATAATGATCAGGTTATTGTCCATCAGCCAGAATGTAAGCAGTAGTATATTATTAAGTTTCAACAAGTTTATTAGTAGAAAAATCTAACCTAATTGGTGGTAATCCTGGTTGATAAATCCAAGAATCCCAATACTCTAAGATTTGATATCTTTTAGTTGAATAATTATCTACATGTTGTTCATATAAATATCTAATGATAAAGTTTTATAATTCTTGCTGATCAATAGATTTATACATATATGTAGCTAAATACGATCTCAGCATATATTTAAAATCTTCTTCTCCAATGATTCCTTCTAAAAATGTCAAAAATTAGAATCCTTTTTCATAAAGTATATCAGAAATTGATAGTTAAGGATTAATTCCTGTTGTATCAGGATGAAGAGATGTAAAATTGCTATCAGGACCGAAATTCAAAATATCTGCATACATAGATGCATTTCCAATTATGGCTTTTAATTTAATATCATCAGGGACCTTATAATAAAATGAAGAAGCTTTTCTTTCTAAAAATACAGTAAATCCTTCATTAATCCACATGTTTCCCCAATTTACACATGTTACCGTATTGCCAAACCAAGAGTGAGCCATCTCATGGATGGCCACATATAATCCACTGCCAGTCTTTGTCATAATAGTTGGGCTAGCAAAAGTTAATAATGGATTTTCCATAGCTCCATAAGGAAAAGAAGGAGGTAATATCACAATAGTGTAAGTTCCCCAAGTGTATGGTCCTATATATTGTTCAATAGCCTATAAAAATTATTCCATATCTTTGAGTTCTTCTTTGTATTCATTAATTTTATCTGGCTCGCTAATTAAAAAGGTTCTATCTCCATTACTTGTGGGTACTTTTTATAAATTACCAGCAACTATAGCGATTAAGTAGCTTGGTATTGGAATTTTTTATAGAAAATATTTATATTTCCAAGTAAAATTTGGATCAATCTCGGGATGGTTTTAAATTTTAAATTATTCTTAGCTTTCTTAGGCTGACATAAAAACATCTGTTGCTTCTGTATTCTTGTAATTATAGTAGCAGAATATGTTTATTTTATTGCAGGTGTATCTTATAATGGTGCTAAGGATCTGCAATATGCATCTTCACATTATGTAAATAAAAAAGGCATGCCTAGACATATAAATAAATTTTAACTTTTCGTCGATGTCTATGACACATTCATAAAACTAACTGATTCAGATCGAGAATCGATTGAGTATTTGATTGATAACATGATGATTTCACCCCTTCGATACTCCCTATTAAGAAGTATATTCAATCGTTAGCCTTAATCACTATCAGCATATGGATTATCAATAATATGGCGAAGAAGAAGTCCATTTTCCATATAAATTGAATAGATATTCAATTCCTTTATGTCTAAACAAATCTATCATATTTTTGTAATAAACTTTGTTTATAGAGGATCTTGCAACATGAAATTTATAGTTAGCTGTAGCATTAATCTATTTCTTTTCCATATTTGATAGCAATTCAAAATGAATATGCTTATTTTATACATCAAGGTAATTTGAAAATGTGTTTACATCTATCTCCAATCCAAATGAAAAATTGATATATAAAAGTGCAAATATAAACATTATTTTTCTTGTTTTTTATATTATTTATAACTTACTAGCATAAAAGAATAAATAAACTTAGATTTTGTTAGAAACTATATAGAAAAATACAAATTCATGTAATTTATTATTATGTTTATAATAAAATACAACCTCATATTTAAAGTGTTTTAATCTGCTCTTTACAATATTTCGATATTTTTCAATCTTACGGCTATGAAAACAACATTATATTATGGGAATTTTAATGAAAGCGAGTGTTCAAGCATAGAAAAATACAGCGCTATGTTTTTAAATTTCTTATCTTGCTCAGATAGATTAATATGGTGAGAGTGCCAAGCTTTTTTATGCATTTGAATTACTTGCATAACTATAGTTATGATATTGAGAGATTTATATTGAATTATAAAACGACAAATATTCACTTCCATTTTGGATTATCTTATATGCTTAG